TGTTAAAAAAATAACTCCATAATTTTTCTGAATTTCACGGCACCGCAGGTAAAAAACCCACTGAAATTTAGCTCTAATTTTCTATTCCAAATGTTACCGCTATTGTAGCGCCAACAAATGTCTTAGATGAATGGCAGACTATGATAAATACATTTATTTGGGGAATTTATAAACCTAAATTCCATCGTGCAGTGGTTTCCACAAAAGTTCCCAAACCTAATATCTGATTTCCCAAACCTAATTTTGAGATTTTCCAAACCTAATGTCTTGGATTTAAGACCCCCAGGTGTTGTCTTCCAAGCATTAAATATTAAATGTTTCCAAACATGAAATATTACTACCAAACTAGCCAGTTTAGAAACGTGGTATATTGGATAACACCAATTCACTGTAAACATTGAGTAAAAATAGAGCAAATACACTGGCCAGCAGTCAAAACTTAATATATTAGCATGGCTGAAGTAATCTTTCAGGTCAAATTCAATATATAATCACCCCTTTGTGAAAATTAAGATCGCACACATCACCTCTAGCACTTATATGTAATAATATTGAATTTAATCCTAATAATTTATCAGGAGGCTTTAATATATAGGAACATGTTAGCATTATAGATTTTGAAATATATATTGCTTTTGATGAAATAATGTACCACAGGTGACATTAAAATCTCATTTTTCCAATACCTGCAATCGAGACACTTTACAACACACTCCCCACAAAAGATAAACCTCAGTAGAATTCTGACAGAATTTTAGAAAATATTTTTCACACCTATGAAACGGAGGCCTATTTTATGTATTCTATAAAGCAATTTTAAATAAACTGGTTTTTCTTCCATATAGCTGTGACAAAATAGGCTAATGACATTGGATCAGAAATGATTTCTGAGGAATGGGACACCATCTGGAACAATGGTCTTCACACACCCATCTGCACAATAGTAAAAGGAAATTGTTTTAAAATCCTATATTGATTTGTATCTCACTCCACTTAAATACATTTATGGTACAAGAGCAGGCACATGTTGAAGGAAGTGTGAACAGTTGTATGAATCCTACTACATGTGGTGGACATGTCCCAAAATTAAACTCTTTTGGAAGAAGTTTTGAGACATGCAGAGGGAAATAGCAGGATACCCACTATCAGATTATTCCCGACGAACCTTCCTGAGAACTCTGCAACATAAGTGCCATAGGGAATTGTTCACTCATCTTCTAGTATCTCCAAGAATTATAGTTGCAAAAGCCTGGAAGAGAAGTGACACCACTGACTGGTTTCAAAAAGTGTAGAAAGTCTGTCTTAGTAATGGAAAAGTTGGTCCTATCACATTAGTGTTCTAGAGGATAGAAGGCAAAAAGATCCTTGCTTGAATATCTAGTGGAAAGTCTTGGAATTTGCTAAGGAATTATCTTCTCCTGCCACCAAACCAGAAACTTTTTTTTTTTTTAAATATTGACATGCAAGTTCTATAAGCTAATTTTTAAGAATTAATTTAGAATAAAATTAAAATTAAAAAAGATGCGTAGAGGATAATGAGATGAGTATTATGCAGAGTTCTAACAAAAAGAAGGGGGTGAATTACTATATAGAGACGAAGAAATACAAAAGCTTAGCATCAGTGGAAACAAAGGAACTGTCAGAGACTGAAAGGCAGAGAGGAACAGAACATGAGACTTCTGTGGACATTAATGTGGGTTATGGGTGCACTATTGATAGCAGATAAATATCTCTATGTATATTAAACGGGATTGGGTATATTTTTAAATGTTAAATCTTATCTGAGAAATTGGTTTAATTAATAAATTAAGATTTTTTAAAAAATCACTCCGATCTAAATTTAAAAAAATTATGGCGGGGGGGGGGCTTGAGGCTAAAACAGTTGAGAGTCACTGATCTAGCTGGTGCCATTTAGGGGCAGCAGGTGTAGGATCTTACCCTGCTCTTTCTATCTTCTGCCCTAAATAAACCCCAGGTCTGTACCTCAGAGGGCAAGAGCAGCCCCACTGCTGCTTCTGCAAGTTCTCATAAGCTGGCGACCACTCCCATGGCCCCTCCTGCTGGGTCTGGAGCATGGGCCAAGTGACAGAGGTAAGCCAGGCTGCAAAGTGTGGCTCCGTTTGTGTATCTGCCTGCCCACCACGCACAGCAGAGCATGCAGCTAGGAGCCTGGGGGATGGACAGCAAAGGGCACTGTAGGAAAGGGGTGGGGAAGGGAGGGAGAAAGCAGTGTTGGCAGTAGTTTATTAGTCAAGGGTAGCGATCCAATTTTGTTCTGGTACATCTGGTTCTGACACACTAGTTTGGCTCTATCCCTGGATTCAGGCTTTGGATTTTCCTTTGGGTTTCTTGGCTTCTGGACCCTGCTTCTCAGTCCCTGAACTCTGGCTTGTGGTTCCCCCCCCTAGGTTCTGGTAACACAGTTGCAGTTTCATGAACTCTGACCCATGTGTTTAGACTCTGCCTCTGGTCCCCAATTCCTGCCCCCTAGCAGGAGGCCTGTGGCAAGTAACCATTGGGCAAGGATGCCTAAGTCCTGGTCCCCCAGTGTCTACATCTGGCTGGGCAGAAGTATCTGCTGTTGAGTGGGTGAAAACTCTTCTCCCCCATCCCCATTTCAAGCATGGCTCAGATTGGCTTGTGAGCTCACCTGACCAGTGGCAGGGCTGTGGGATGCAAAGTTGCAGGTTTCCTATACATAAAAATATGTATAGAAAATGGAAAAAGGGTATGTAGATTTCTATTAAATATAATTTAGAAAGAGCTTACTATAGTTACCTCTGGCTGGGCAGAGGCTCTTCTTGGGTTCACTGAAATTTTTTACCTGAACCCATCATAGACTCTGTTCAGAGTGGGAGAGAAAAGGCTACCCTGCTGCAAGGCACTGTGGGCACTGTGAATGGGAGGAAGAACATTAATTTCAGAACTTTGTGCAGCCCCCACTGGCTGAGCAGAAACACCTGGTCTTGCGTTGCTGTGGGTTTCTTCCCTCCACCCCCATTTAAGTATAGTGCAGATGACCAGCAACAGGGCTCTGGGGTGCAAAGCTGCAGGGCTCAGCACACCATACTGGGCATGGGGACTTGGCATAATGTGCCAAGCCTATAATTCCAGCCTATGAAGTGGGAGTGTTTGTGAGGATGGGTCTAGCCACAATGTGACTGGGGCACTGATGAATGCCTAAGGCCCAGCCCCTTTCTCTGCAAGGCTGCTAAGCCAACAAGTGGGGGAGCATGAGGAGGATCAATAGGCTTGCCACTGTACTCTGGTGGTTAGCTTGCTGATTTCCCAAACCGAATGTCTTGTGTTTAAGATCCCCTGGGGTCGTCTCAGGGACCCCTTTCTGCTCTTTCTCTTTTTAACTTATTTCTGAACCATGGCACTTCATCACTAGGCAGAGGGAGGGAGACTGTCCCCATGCTAGCCTAGTATCTATTTGGGTGACCAGGAAACTCTCTTGGGAAGTAATTGGTATGGGTTTGAAGCCCCTCAGATAGAGGAGGGCATTGAGCCTAGGTCACTTATTTATGGGCAAGTGTTCTAAATACTAGACTCTTATGTAAGTTTATAAGGATAATAAATTGTGAATAAAAAGTTTGAGCTGTCTAAAACAAGGTTATTAGATGGTCAAAAAGCCACAAAGACAGGTCTGGGTAAAGGCTTATTCTAGGGAACTGAAGGCAGCAACTGGATTTTAAAAATATGTATAGGAAAGGGGAAAATGCATGTGGATTTCCATTACCATAATATAATTTTAAATGTGTGAAAAATTGACAGACGAAGCAAAAGACATAATTGAAAAATAATCAGTGGCTGTCAGAGCTGTGGAGCATAAGGAGTTTTAAGTATGCTAAAACCAAAAAGGATGGGCCTAGAATCATAGAGTCATAAGGTTGGAAGGAACCTCAAAGGTCACCTGGTTCAGCTCCCCTCACAAATACAGAAACACTATTCTTAACTATCCCTATCAAATATAGATCCAACCTCCCCTTCAAAGCATCCAATGATGAAGATTCTACAACTTTCATTTGCAGTCTAGTCTACTGCCCTACTATTCCAACCATAAGGAAGTTTTTTTTCACCCCTGAGATCTAGAGAGCTCATCTAAATCTCCTTTGCTTCAGTGTAAGTTTCCTGTTCTCTGCAGCAAGGGAGAACAGCTATTCTCCCTCTTCTTTATTGCAGTCTTTTATATATTAAAAAACTGCTATCATGTGTCCTCCCCCTCACTTTTGTTTTCTCAAAGCTAAACATGACGCACTCTCAACCTTTTCTCATATAGGTTGCTGTACAACTCCTTTATCATTTATGCTGTCCATCTTTGGACCCTCTCCAGCTTCTCTACATCTTTCTTAAACTGTAAAGCCCAGAACTGCTCCTACAATATTTTATATGATGCCTAACCTGAGCAGAGTGGTAATTAATTGTTTTGGCACTTTATTAGATAGCGATGGTAAGATTCTGGTGCCAAAATAATTAATAAATCAGTATTTCTGATTTGCATTAAAAAAGAAACAGGACAATATGTCACCTGTGTATTTTTCAGCTTGTCAGTAACTAGGGATAAACATACAAAAATCAGGAGACCTGGATAACTTATACCCAAGACACCTAAGCAGCCAGCTGAGGGGATGTCTGACCCTCTGTATTCATTTTCTAAATCTACAAGAGACTTCTATAAGCTGTGTGATGTAGTTGCATACGACACTGTAATTAGGAAGTTAGTGCTATTTTGTACTACTGGCACCCCCCACTTAATGCTGTTTTGCTTAGCGCTATTTTGTTATAACGTTAATTTTAAATTGATACCTGATTTCACTTAGTGTTCAGCGAGGTTTGTTATAACACTCGCAGTGCCATCTTGGGTCATTAACACTTGTGGTCATCTTGGGTCATCAAATACTTTCGGTTTTGCTTAACGCTCATTTCGCTTAATGCTTGGTTTTTCAGGAACAAATTAAGAGTGCTAAGCGGAGGTTGCCTATAATCATAAACACATTGAATGGATTAGGAACTGGACCATTGACAGAACAAGTAGTTGTCAAATGGGAATTATTAAACAGGGTGCTTTGATTTGGGGTTTAAGGGGATTTGTTCTAGACTTGATGATATTCAAGGATTTGCATTAAATAATTTGGAAATACATCTAAGATCATTAAACAATCATTTAGGAATAACACTTGTAGAAGATTGACAGGGCGCATCTACACATGCAATTAATGTGTCTTAAGGTTACTGCACATTAAAATAAGACACTGTAAACTGCGTCCAGGAATGTGTCTACATGTGCGCCTGCACTTGGAGCAAATTTGCTCCCAAAGGGAGCAGTTGAATCCAGGGCTGCTTGTGCCATCCTGCCCTGCTCTGCCCCCTTACAGCAGCCAAGGGGAGCTCCAGGCTCCTCTGGCGCCAGTCTTGGGCTGGCAGGGGGTATGGGAGTTAGGTTTGGGCTCCAGGGAGCAAGGGGGATCTGTCCCAGAGTGAGGAAAAGTTCCTCGCCATGTGGAGCTTAGGATCACAGTCTAGCTCAGTGGTTCTGTCTTGGGTAATGCCCCATGGCTGAGCAGCAGCAGCTCTGTAAGTTCTCCCCTCACTCTGCTTGCTGAGGGGATGGGGGAGCTCTTTGTCCCCTCAGCCCTGGAGTGTATGAGCGATGAAGTCTGAAGGACCATGTAGAGTAGGGCCTGAGTGAGACCTGAAGGGCTGTGTGGAATAGGGTGGAATGGGTGAGGCATAGTGACAGGGGGCAAAAGTGAGGGGCAGAGTAGTGGTCCCAGTGGAGGGCAGAGTAGTGGCCTGGAGAAGAGGTCAGGAGGCCAAGACCCACACAGTGGGGCCTGATGCCAGATATGGGCATCTAGTGCAGGACAGTGCAGTTCAGCAAAGGGCCCAAGGGAATTATGGGTGATTTGGATGCTATCTGTGAGGCATGGGACACAGTGTAGAGGTGGCTCAGAGCCAAGTATTTTGGCTCAGGACTCCAGGGCCACATTTAGGGAAGCCTCACCTATTTAATAACAATTATTGTAATGTCAAAGGCATAGCAGGTAAGTCAGGGCAGACTACCCTAGGCACCAGGTGGGCCAATGATGTGCGGAGCTCGGAGTTTGTAGTCACTAGGGCTGTGCAAAGCTTTGGATCACAATTCGGATTCGCAGATGATTCGGATGATTTGGAGGCTGAATCTAGGAATCCAAACTGAATCGCTGAAAGCTTTAGGCTTTTCGAATCAATTCAGAGCTTCCGAATTGATTCAGAAAAGATTCAGTGATTTGTCTATAGGGTATAATGGGGAATCAATGAAATATCTATAACTTTCTTGTTTTGTTATTGGCTGATTCAAATGAAACTTGCAGGGTGGTAGTCTCTGCTGAGAGGTGATAGGTGCAAGGGTTTCTGGGAAACTGCACCTCAAAGTCCTGAAAGCAAAACTCATGTCACGTGTGTGTGTTAAGCCACAGTGGGGTCAAAACTGCAGGGATGGTAGACCCTGTGGAGGCTACAAAGCCTGCCAAGTTTCAAGGAAACTTGTCAAATGCTAGCAAGTGCTACCATCCCTGCAGTTTTCATTCCCCTGTGCCTTAACACACACACACACACACACACACACACACACACACACACACA